AAATTGTGCTAGAATATTTGTAGTTTCAAGTCTTGGATTTAAGGCCTTGATCCATCTTGAGTAGATTTTTGTAGAAGGTGAGAGATGAGGACCCAGTTTCATTCTCCTACGTGAGGCTTGCCAATTATCCCAGCACCATTTGTTAAATAGACTGTCCTTTCCCCATTTTATGTATTTGTTTGCTTTGTTGAAGATCAGTTGGCTGTAAGTATTTGGGTTTATTTCTGGGTCCTCTATTCCATTCCATTGGTCTAGGTGTCTATTTTTATACCAGTCCCATGCTGTTTCAGTGATCGTGGTGCTATAGCATAGTTTAAAACCAGGTAATGTGATGCCTCCAGATTTGTTCTTTTTGCTTTATTTTGCTTTGAATATGCAGGCTCTCTTTTGGTTCCGTATGCATTTTAGGATTTTTTTTTCTAGTTCTGTAAAGAATGATGGTGATATTTTGATGAAAATTGCATTGAATTTGTAGTTTGCTTTTGGCAGTATAGTCATTTTGACAATATTAATTCTACCCATTTGTTTTCATTTGTTTGTGTCTTCTGTGATTTATTTCAGCAATGTTTTGTAGTTTTCCTTGTAGAGGTCTTTCACCTCTTTTGTTGGGTAAATTTCTAAGTATTTTATTTTATACTTTGCAGCTACTGTAAAAGGAGCTGAGTTCTTGATTTTATTCTTATCTTGGTTGCTGTTGGTGTACAGGAGAGTTACTGATTTGGGTACATTAAAAATAACTCAAATGAAAAAGGTACTTGTACACACATGTTTATAGCAGCACAATTTGGAATTGCAAAAATATGGAACCATTGCAATCAGTGAGTGGATAAAGAAACTGTGATACATGCTATCTGACTTCAAACTATACTATAAGGCTACAGTAAGTAAAACAGCATTGTACTGGTATGAAAAACAAAGATATAGACCAGTGGAACAGAATAGGGTCTTCAGAAATAAAACCACACATCTACAACCATCTGATCTTTGACAAACCTGATAAAAACGAGCAATGCGGAAAGAATTCCCTGTTTAATAAGTGATATTGGGAAAACAGGCTAGCCATGTGCAGGAAGCAGAAAGTGGACTCCTTCCTGATACCTTACACTAAAATTAACTCCAGATGAATTAAGGATTTAAACATAAGACCTAACACCATAAACACCCTAGAAGAAAATGTAAGCAAAGCCATCAGGATATAGGCATAGGCAAGGATTTCATGACTAAGACACCAAAAGCAATGGCAACAAAAGCCCAAACAGACAAATGAGATCTAATTAAATTAAAGAACTCCTGCACAGCAAAAGAAACTATCATTAGAGTGAACCGGCAACCAACAGAATGGGAAAAAATTTTTGCAATCTACCCATCTGACAAAGGGCTAATATCCAAAATCTTCAAAGAACTTAAACAAATTTACAAGAAAAAAAAAAAAAAAAACCAACCTCATCAAAAAGTGGGAGAAGGATGTGAACAGACACTTCTCAAGAGAAGACATTTATGCCGCCAACAAACATAGGAAGAAAAGCTCGTCACCACTGGTCATTAGAGAAATGCAAATCAAAACCACATTGAGATGCCATCTCACACCAGTTAGAATGGCAATCATTAAAAAATCTGGAGAAAACAGATGCTGGAGAGGATGTGGAGAAGTAAGAATGCTTTTACACTGTTGATGGGAGTGTAAATTAGTTCAACCATTGTGGAAGACAGAGTGGCAATTCCTCAAAGATCTAGAAATAGAAATACCATTTGACTTAGCAATCCCCTGGGCATATACCCAAAAGATTATAAATAATTTTACTATAAAGACACATGTACACGTACGTTCATTACAGCACTGTTCACAATAGCAAAGAATAGGAACCAACCCAAATGCCCATAAATGATAGACTGAATAAAGAAAATGTGTCATGTATACACCATGGAATACTATGCAGCCATAAAAAAGGATGAGTTTATGTTCTTTGCAGGGATATGAAGAAAGCTGGAAACCATCATTATCAGCAAACTAACCCAAGAACAGAAAAACCAAACACCACATGTTCTCACTCATAAGTGAGTGTTGAACAATGAGAACACATGGACACAGGAAGGAGAACATCAGACCTGGGGGTCTGTTGTTGGGGGAGGCTAGGGGAGGGATAGCAGGGCGTGGGGGTATAGGGGAGGGATAGAATTAGGAGAAATACCTTATGTAGCTGACAGAGTGATGGATGCAGGAAACCTCCATGGCGCGTGTATACCTATGTAACAAACCTGCATGTTCTGCATATGTACCCCGGATTTTAAAGTATAATTTAAAAATAAATAAATAAATAAACTGTGATACATATATATGATGAAATAGACACTAAATGGAATGAATTAATGGCATTCACAGCAACCTAGATGGGATTGGAGACTATTATTCTAAGTGAAGTAACTCAGGAATGGAATACTAAACATTGTGTCTTGTCACTTATAAGTGGGAGCTAAGCTATGAGGATGCAAAGGCATAAGAAAGATGCAATGGACTTTGGGGAGTCAGGGAGAAAGGATGGGAAGAGGGTGAGGAATAAAAGACTACAAATTGGGTTCAGTGTATACTGCTTGAGTGATGGGTGTACCAAAATCTCACAAATCACCACTGAAGAACTTACTCATGTAACCAAATACCACTTGTTCCCCCAAAAACCTATGGAAATAAAAAATTAAAAAAATTATGCTAGAGTAATTGAACACCCATTTATCAAAACTTTAACCTTGACATATTGTCTCTCATTCTATATAAAATTAGTTTAGAATTTATTATGGGCTTAAATGGAAGCCATAAGGCTATACATTTTAGAACTATTATTGCAGAAAATCTTCAGGTCCTAATACTCATAAAGAGTTCATATACTTGATACCTTAAGCACAATCCAGTAACTAGAAAAGTAGACTTTCTCAGGTAAAAGTCGTATAAAAAGAAATTTGTTCTGAGAAAAAACGAATTGTAGACTTGGAGAAAATATGTCCAAATCACACATCCAACAAAATACATGCATCTGTAAAACATAAAGTCTTTTATAAACATGATAAATTTTCTTTTTTCCTTTTCAATTTCTGTCATCCATGTTTTATAATTTTTATTGTAGAGATATATCACTTCTTTTAGTTTATCCCTAGGTCATTCATCTTATTTATAGCTATTATAAATGGAATTGCTTTCTTGGTTTGTTTTGCAGATAGTTAGCTGTTGGCATATAGAAATGCTACTGATTTCTGTGTGTTTATTTTGTATTCTGCACCTTTAATGGATTTATCAATTTTATAATGTTAACATGTCTGTCCCACGCAAAACAATCTACAGACTCAATGCAATTATTCACAAAAATCAAAAACACAATCCTAAAATGCATATGCAGGCAAAAAATCCAGACTAGTCAAAGTCATCCTAAGCAAAAAGAACAAAACTGGAGAAATCATGTTACCTGAGTTGACACTACACAAAGCTATAGTAATCAAAATAGCATGATGCATAAAACAGATACACAGATAAATAAAACAGCATAAAGAATCCACAAGTTAATCCACATATTTAAAGTCCCTTTATTCTCAATAAAGGTGTCAAGAACATACATTGGGGAAAGAACAGTCTCTTCAATAAATAGTGCTGTGGAAACTAGATCGCCATATGAAGAAGAATGAAACTAGATCCCAATCTCTTGCCATATACAAAAATCAAATGAAAATGAATTGAAGACTTAAATCTAAGACCCTAAACTATAAAACAACTAAAACAAAACATTAGGTAACCTCTCCAGGACATTAATTTCGGCACACATTTCTTGAGTAAAACCTCAGAAACTCAGGCAATCACAGCAGAAATTGACAAATAGGATCACATCAAGCTAAGAAACTTCTAAATAGAAAAGGAAACAATCAAGTGAAGGGAAAATCTACTGAACAGAAGAAAATATTTGTAAACTACTCATCTGACAAGGGATTGATAACCAGAATATAGGAGGAGCTCAAACAACTCAATAAAAAATTTAATTTGAAAATGAGCAAAAGATCTGAGTAAACATTTCTCAAAAGAATGCATACAAATGGCAAACAGGTATATTAAAAGAGGCTCAATATCACTGATCATCAGGTAAATGCAAATAAAAACTACAATTAAATATCATCTCATCCCAGCTACTTGGGAGGCAGAGGCAGGAGAATTGTTTGAACCAGGACCCGGGAGGCGGAGGTTGCAGTGAGCCAAGATTGCACTACTGCACTCCAGCCTGGGCTACAGAGCAAGACTCTGCCTCAAAAAAAAAAAAAAAAAAAAAAAAAAAAAAAAAAAAAAAAAAGGAAAGAAATGTAATTGCCACTTCAGCATATTTGACATATGAATCAATCCCTCAAGTATTTATTCAAGTATACAATTCTAATAGTGAAAGAAAGCTTTAGTAAAAACAAATATATTTGTTCATGACTTTTATCAATTTAAAGATGTTCAATGCCACAGACTATTTATATGCTGTAGGCATGAAAAATTTAATGATTTTTTCTTTCGATATTACAAAAACAGTTAACTTTAAAGATTCAATTTGATTGTGAATTGGGATATCACAATAGGTGACATCCTTGGAATACACAAACTACATGATAAAACTACAACCATTTCTATCATTTAACTATTCCTATATAGAAAACTCTGTTGTAAAATAGAAATATTCTGAGAACCCTGCTTGAAGTGAAGGGGAGGCCTTTTAAAATGTTCACTTATAGGTTAGAATTGTAACTATACAGAAAGTTTTGCTTGGCAGAATGATTTAGAGCTGTCTGGCTCTAGATCCAAGTTAGTAGCCACTAGCCACAGTGGTCATTTAAATTTAAATTAAATAAGGTAAAATGCAGTTGAAATTTCAGTTCCTTAGTTGCACTTTCCACATGCTAGGTGCTCGATAGTCATACAGGACGGCAAAGATGTAGACCATTACTATGAGAGCAGAAAGCTGTATTGAAACACAGATCTGGAGACCAACCTGATGAAAACCAATATCCATCATCGATACTTCCTCCTGGTGATGATATTGATGGATCACAATGTGGAGGAGCATAACCAGGATCACACTGACAATTGAAATGTTCATTGCAAACCTAAAACCAAAACAAACAAACATGAAAAAATTATACAACTAAATTAACTGCCTTATATATGATTGTTAGTCAATATAAAATTTTAAAATATTACCATTTAATCTAAGGAGATTTAAATTTAATATGAAAAATATTTAGAAATAAAAGGTAGTATAATGAAAGGCATTGCAATATATTTTCAAAAATCTTAGAGGTATCTTCTTGTTTGCCTCTTACATTTCCAAATAAAAGGAATAATTCTTGATAAAATTTAAATGCATTTTATTAGAAGGGCATGCAGGTTATGATGTTAGAAACTGTAGAATCGTGGGAGTAAAAATTTGTTATGAATTGTGCTGGATTTAAAAAAATAATTGTGATGAGAACCGAATTTTATTTAAAAATACGGGGGAAAGCCAAAATTTCAAGATGCGTGCTCAATCAGATACAACATCAACATTTATATAGAAAGAAGAAAGAATGTATAAATGTGATCTGGCAGATGATTAGAAAAAGGGCCAGTAAGCTGGGAGTGGTGGCTCACGCCTGTATTCTCAGCACTTTGGGAGACTGAGGTGGGTGGATCACGAGGTCAAGAGATTGAGACCATACTGGCCAATAGAGTGAAACCTCGTCTCTACTAAAGTACAAAAATTAGCTGCATGTGGTGGTGCGTGCCTGTAGTTCCTGCTACTCGGGAGGCTGAGGCAGGATAGTTGCTTGAACCCTGGAGGCAGAGATTGCGGTGAGCGATATCACGTCACTGCAATCAAGCGTGGTGCCTGGTGATAGAGCAAGACTGTCTGAAAAAAAAGAAAGAAAGAAAGCAAGAAGGAAGGAAGGAAGGAAGGAAAGAAAGAAAGAAAGAAAGAAAGAAAGAAAAGGGGCCAGTAGAGAATTTAGAAATAAATGCATACAAAATTAGTTAAGAAAGTCAATTAAAACTAAGTAACACAAAAAGAAACTGAAAATAATAGATGTGTAAGTAGTTTTAGAGAAAAATCGATATAAGCCACACAGAGAGGTCAGTTTTTTTTCCTAAATTACTATAAAAAATATGAACCATCAATACGGTAGAGGGCACTGACTATAAAGAGACAAATGCATGCTTAGAATGACTTACAAAGTTTACAAAAGCCAGTAAATAAGTTTACAATACATGAACAGAAATGCAAGTGGTAGATATGACCATACTTAGGAATTATATTATTAAATATCAAATAAACGCAAACTAACAATAGATTTAGCATGTTAAAGGAGACTAAAAAGATTAATACAACTAATCTGGACAGAATATTTCATATATGAAAATCTTTGCACATTTTCATATATGATAGGTGGGAGAAAAAAACTGGTATAATGTTTCTCGAAGACGGTATGTTACTTAGGAAAATTCAAATTGTTTATATATTCGGCCCAAACAAATTTTATTTGCTAGTCATTTAAGAAAGCAGGTAAATATGCAAAGGTATATGTAAAATAATATCTGTTGTATCACTATTTGTAGTGATTAAGCTAAAATTTAACATCAGTTGAAATGCCATTAATGAATGGCATTTCAAATATTGTATGGATGATCCATATAGTGAAATAAGTTGAAGCTGTTGAGGAATGAATCAGATCTTAATGAACCGAAAACTCTGATTCTATGAATCAATGTGCATAATAGTATGTGAATGTTCATAAATATTAAGTACACATACACTCAATTATAAACATTATGTGTGTATATGCATAAAAGTATAAGCATAATCCTTAATAAATCCATTTCCAAAATTTTGTAATCTTAATCTAATGTTATAATAACGGATTCTGTTTCATAGTGCATTTTTTACAAAGTGTATACTTATTTGCTCAAGAGGCCTATAACAATCTGATCATACACATAAATTATATATATATTATACATATAGTGAATCTACTTTTCTTTTTAATGACAATTTTCAAAAAGAAATTTTCACATGTAATACTTGTGAACTTTATTATCATAGAAAATGTTATCAACATAGATTAATTTTACTAAGAAAAAGAGTAACTTGTTACATACCCCATGTCCTTTGCAAGTTTTGTTACATTTTGTTATATTTATTTCACTAATAAATTTGCATTGTTTTGCGTAACATGCCTAAAATGTTAGAAAGCAAACAACAACAAAAATATTAAATGTAAAATCGAGATGAGGAATCATGTTTGTACAAATATTATATGCACAGGAGATATACAGAACAGGTAAATCTGAATTTCATAACATTTTATTTTAATAAAAAACATATGAACAATTTCTAAATGGTATGCTATTACTTAATAAAAATATTACAAATGAGATATTTTATGTTCAGAAAGCAGAAATATACATTTTTATTACAAGCTGGTATAAGAAAAATGTAGCCAGCTTGTACTAGCAATTTTTAATTTATAGGGCCACTTTTAGCATTTTTTATGCATCGTTCTATTAGTTATTAATATAGATCCTTAGAGGAAGATATTTTTATGCTCATTTTGTATTTGAATAGCAGATTGGCTACGTCAAATTGTGTGTCTATATTTAGTATTTTGAGAAATCTCCATAGCGTTTCCCAAATAGGTTGTATTAATTGACATTCCCAACATCAGTGTATAAACTTTTCTTTTTCTCCACATTCCTGACATCTATTGTTTTTTGACTTTTTAATAACAGCCACTCCGACTAGTGTAAGAAGGTATCTCATCAAGGTTTTAATCTCATAGTTGGTGATCTTGGGCATTTTTTCCTACGTTTTTTCACTGTATGTCTTCTTTTGAGAAGTATCTGTTCATGTCCTTTGCCCACATGTTAATGGGGTTACTTGGTTATTTTGTTGTTGTGTTGTCTGAGTTCCTTGCAGCTTCTGAATATTGGTTCTTTGTTGGATTTATAATTTGCAAATATTTTTCCATTCTGTAGATTATCTGTTTACTCTGTTGTCTCCTTTGCTGCGCAGAAGCCTTTTAGTTTAATTAAGTCCCATTTGTCTATTTTTGTTTTCATTGTATTTGCTTTTGAGGATTTGTTCATGTATTTTTGCCTAGGCCAATGTCCAACAGAGTTTTTGGTAGGCTTTCTTCTAAGGTGTTTACAGTTTCAGATACTACATTTAGGTCTTTAATCCACCTTGAGGTCGTTTTTGTATATGCTGCAAGGTACGGATCCAGTGTCATTCTTCAGCATATGCTATCCAGTTTTCCCAGCACCTTTTTGAAGACAGTCCTTTCCCCAGTGTATGTTCTTGCTGGCTTTGTTGAAGATCTGTTTGCTGTAAATATGAGGATTTCTGGGTTCTCTTTTCTGTTCCTTTGATCTATGTGTATATTTTTATAATCATATCTTGCTGTTTTGGTTACTATTGGATTGTAGTGTAATTTAAAGCTAGGCAATGTGATGCCTCCATTATTCTTCTTTTTGGTTAGGATTACTTAGACTATTCAAGCTGTTTTTGTGTCATATAAATCTAGCCAGGAGTGTGGATACAAAAGGCTGTCACACTGGCCCTTTGCCCTGGTTGGCAGAGGGCAGCTGTGGGCCCACTGAGCTGCTAACACTTAAACCATCTAGAGATGGCAGAGCTAAAAACGCACTGAAACATGCCTTCTGGAGCTTCAGGGAGTTTGTTCCTGCTAGCACGCAAAAGCACTAGCCCTGGCTGCTTCAGCCTCTCACCTGCCCTTTCCCTCCTGAGAGGGACAGAATGCAGCAGGTCCCAGTGAGTGGAGTTCACTCCCGCCAGCACCGAAGTGGTTGGCTGGTTTCTGAGCTCATGTACTCCAGTTCCCGCCTCCTTTGTTCCTGTGCTCCTTCCAGGGAGGACTTGAGAGCAACAGGCTGAATAAACAAGCCACCCCTGTCGTGAGTCCCATAAAGGGGTTGGGGAAATATCCTGCTTCAGTATTGTATCAATTTTATCTTTTTGAAGAACGAACTTTTTGTCCTGTTTATCCATTGGCTTTATTTTCTTTGTTTAATCTCTGTTTAGTAATGACAGACCTCGGTTCTCTATGAGTTCTCATGAGAGCTGGTTATTATTATTTTTTTAAAAGGAGTCTAGACCTTCTCTCCTCTCTCTCTTGCTTCTTCTCTCACTACATGATCTCTGCACATGCCAGTTCCCCTTCTCCTTCTACCAAGAGTGGAAGCAGCCTGAACCCCTCACTGGAAGCAGACGCTGGCACCATGCTTCTTGTTCAGTCTGCAGAAATGTGAGCCAAATAAACTGATTTCCTTTATAAGTTACCCAGCCTTAGTATTATTTCATAGCAACAAAACAACTAAGACACATTAGATATCACAAGTTAAGGGGCTTCGTCTTTCAAGACTGGCCCCATATCAGGTGCAAGTAAGCCATACTTCTGACAGACCAGATATAAGTTAGGGGTTTTTACGACTCCCTCCACAGGGTAACAATGTTAGCATGGCTCACAGAACTCAGGAAAATACTTTGCTTGTATTTAATGGTTTATTATATAGGATACAACTCAAGAACAGCTACATGGATGATATATTTAGGGCAGGGAATTGGAGAAGGGGAGAAGAATTGCCATGCTTTCTCCAGCTGCACCACCCTCCCAGCAAACTGATATGTTTTTTAGCCCAGAAGACCATTGAATCTCTTTGTTCAAGGGTTTTAATAGAGATCAATTTCCAGCCCTGCCTCTCTTCTTCCAAAACTCCAGTGAGTCAGGCTGAAAGTTCCAACTCTGTAGTCACTTGGTCATCCTGATAACCAACTCTGTTCTAAGGACAGCTAGTGGTCCCACCCTAAATCACCTGATAGAAATAAGCACAATTTCAGGTGTGACTGAACTTGAGAATGTGTTCTCATTCTCAAGAACAAAAAACACTTCCGTCACTTAGGAAATTCCAAGGGTTTTATTAGAAGCTGTGTGCCAAGAATCAGAGACAAAGACTGAATAGGTTCTGTATTATGCTGTATATATTACAAAAATTAAAATTGAGCCTGGTGCAGTGGCTCATGTCTGTAATCCTAGCACTTTAGGAGGCTGAGATGGGTGAATCACAAGGTCAGGAGTTCGAGACCAGCCTGAACAGCATGGTGAAACCCTGTCTATACTAAAAATACAAAAATTAGCTGGGCATGGTGGCACATGCCTGTAATACCAGCTGCTTAGGAGGTTGAGGCAGGAGAATCACTTGAACCCAGAAGGCGAAGGTTGCAGTGAGCCAAGATGGTGCCACTGCACTCCAGCCTGGGCGATAGAGTGAGACTCCCTCTAAAAAAAAAAAGAAAAGAAAAGAAAAGTAAAAGAAAAAGAAAAAAAAAGACAAAGTTAGTTAATATATTTAAGCATTTATGCTTCTGTATTCATAATAAATTTTTTTTCAGTTTGTTTTAAATGGTCTTTGAAGGAATGACATATTACTTTACAACAGAGTCAGTATCAGTATGCCTCTTTGATTACTTCATTACTTTTATGGAGAATATTTTTTCCCATTCTGAGATAAGTATACTTTTCACTTAAATTTATCTCTTACTTTTTATTCTAAAAATATATTTCTATGTGTAAATTATTTGTATAAAAATGTGTGATATTATATACTTTTAAATTAGTCAACTAATTTTTCAGGGCTACTAGTTTGAAAAGCTTTATCAGGCATCTCAAAATTCTTAAGAAAAATAAAAATCAAAAAAAACTTAAATGCTATGTTTTATTTTCACATTTTATGTGAAGGCCACATTTTAGACAAAATATGCTTATTGGGAAATATTAGGACAATAGGTTAATGAGAAAATAATTGCTTTATTTCAGTTGTAACCAAATTAATTTTTAATCAATCGCTACAAGATTAAATACTTGGCTTTTTCTGGTTTTGTCTTCTTTAAAGTTCTTGTTATTCAGGCTGTTCCGACATTTTTGTTTTTGTTTTTGCATTATTTTATTCTTTTTTGTTCTTGGTTTACACAAATCATCACAAATCAGATCCTGGCCTAACAGGGAAACTCAGATTCTCTAGCAAGAGGAAATAAGTTTAAAGATCTGTAGTAAAAATTTAATAACAATAACAAATAATAAAACAAGAATTTCTTTAACCAGCAGAAATTCTCACCAGTGTATTTTAAGATAACGATATGGTAACCACAATTATTAGCATTAATTACAAATGAAAATGTAAGCATCCTCTCAGTCTTTCTCTCTCTCTCTTTCTCTCTCTCTCTCACACACACACACAACACACACACTTCAGACACTCACTTGCAAATTCACCATACATAGTATCAACAAAAATTTTATTTACCCTGTGTTCACCACACATAGTTAGAGGTTCTACATAGGTTGTTACTTGCTTTGAACCATTTCTTGCATGTGCTGAGAAACATGCATGACCTCCAAGGTAAGTATATTGTATATCATATTCTTTCACTGATACTGGTTGCGAATGTGTCCAGTGACAGACAACCTTTCCACAAAGGATATGACTAGCAACAAAAGACAGAAAAAAATTACCTGTTTGTCACCTTGGCACAAAATATATGTTATTACATTTGTAATAACAATTCAAAAGTGAGGATAATTCAAAATATTACACAGATCATAACACCAAAGCTCTTCACAACATATAATGCCTTATTAAATGCAACAAATAAATCTATCCATATATGCTAGATAGTGTCTCTCATTTATTCCAAATCACTGTTTGCAGTACATACACAAAACACAACACATGCACTTGGAAGATGTATACTTTCCTAAATACGTACAAAAAATGACAACGGGCGCCACAGTTTCCAAATTTGTCATTTAGAAAATTCACTTCTTCTGTACACAGAAGACTAGCAGACTTAGCAACTGAAAACACAAGAAGTTACGGTTACTTGCATTAAAAACATTAAAAGGTAAACGTGTGATAAGTCAATAGAGAGACATCTAGACAACAGCAATGCCCAGTCAGAGTCATCTGCTATACATTTTTGGTGTCACCTACTGGCTTTACAAGGAGAAGCACTTACTGAAAACTATACTCATGAGAACAGAAAAGTTCATATTTCCATAATTATAGAAATAATTAAGAAATCAGTTATCTGCTCTTTTGTCTACTATTCTAATAGACTACTCCCTTTGCAACAAACACCTTAAGTTGGACTAATATCCTACTCTTGTGTCCTGTAGTTATTAGGTCTATTTTAACCCTTGACATCATTCAAAGTTGTTTTGATTTGCAATGTTATTTCCAAATTTGAATGTAAAACAACACTTTCAGGGATGGCTCTTGGGTGGGTTACTGAATTTCGAATATCTACGGTTTAAACATGACCCCAGAAAAAAAGGTAAAACAATTACATTTTCCAAATAGATCTACACAGTGTTTATCCCTATCTCTGCATACTCCTTCATAGCAATAACTAGTCTTATTATTGCAGTATTCTAAATCAGCAGCTTTCACATCAGGTACACAAAACTCAGATGTTCCATTGCAATATTCTGGAAAATCACACATATCTACGCTGTCTCTGCAGATATGGCCTCTTTCATGGATCTGTTAGAGAAAGAAAAACAAATACATTTATTTGTCAGGCTCAGTCTGGTTTATCTCCACTACCCGGACTAAATCAAACAAGGAGCTTCAGCGACCTATCTATACTACATATTGTGAACGCTTGTTTGAGAACTGTCAGCTTAAAAGCAAGGATATCCTAAGAGATGCATAGAATAAAAATCCTGTTTGAAACATTCACTGGCACATGAAGCCAGACCTATGTTCACTTAAGTTTGCATTCATTTTTCTTTGCTTGGACATTCATCAACCATTTACAACTGACCAATACATAATCTGTATTAAAGTTTTTATTAAAAAATTATCTGTAGGAATATCTAAGCACTCATTAGAAATAGGTAATAAAGGCCAGTGTTGTGGTGGTTCATGGCTGTAATTCTAGCATTTTGGGAGGCCAAGGCAGGTGGATCACCTGAGGTCACGAATTCAAGACCAGGCTGATCAACGTGGTGAAACCATCTCTACTAAAAATACAAAAACTTGCTGGGTGTGGCGTGTGCCTGCAATTCCAGCTGAATTGCTTGAACTTGGGAGGTGGAGGTTGCAATGAGCTGACACCGTGCCACTGCACTCTATCCTGAGCGACAAGAGTGAAACACTGTCTCAGGAAAAAATTTTTAAAAAAGAAAAAGAAAAAGAAATAGGTGATAAAACTTACTCTACAAGTTTTATTGTCACAGCATGGTCCAGTGCCACATTCTGCAAAGTTGATCAGAGTACAATCTTTAGGATTACAGCATTTTTTAAAATTGCATCCCTAAAAGCAAATACAATAAATTTAAATGTTTTCCATCAAATTTTAGTCAAATAAATAGTTTTTATTTATTTTCAAAGTAAGGTATGTCTCCAACTTAATTCCAATCACACCATGACTTTTGGATTCTGTATTTTTTATACCATTTCATTTAAACTTATACTTTCCCTGAAAGAAGAAAAAGAGATAATAGTGAATGTGCTCACAATTTCATTCTAAAACTGATCTATTAAAAATTTAGTGCAATGAATAAAATATCTTTGTTTATATAAATATGCATGCAAATTTTTGTATTTTTTTTACTTATTATACCATAAGTGCTTTTCAATATCATCAAGTCCTCTTAAGGGGAGTGGCTGAGTTTGGAGAAGCAGGATAGAAAAAGCCTAGATTCAGCCATGTGCAGTGGCTCACCTGTAATCACAACACTTTGGGAAGCCAAGGCGGGTGGATTGCTTAAGCTCAGGAGTTCAAGACCAGCCGGGGCAACATGGTGAGACCTCTTTTGTGCCAAAAATACCAAAAGTAGCTGGGCATGGTGGTGTGTACCTTTGGTCCCACCTACTTGGGAGGCTGAGGTGGGAGGACTGCTTGAGCCAGCTGGGGTAGAGATTGCAGTGAGCAGAGATCAGGCCACTACGCTCTAGCCCGGGTGACAGAGAAGATTTTATAATAATAAATAAATATGACAAAAAGAGAGCCCGCACAGCCAAGTCAATTCTAAGCAAAAAGAACAAAGCAGGAGGCATCAAACTACTGGACTTCAAACCATACTACAAGGCTACAGTAATCAAAACAGCATGGTACTGGTACCAAAACAGAGAAATAGACCAATTGAACAGAACAGAGGCCTCAGAGGAAATACAACATATCTACAACCATCCGATCTTTGACAAACCTGACAAAAACAAGCAATGGGGAAAGGATTCCCTGTTTAATAAATGGTGTTGGGAAAACTGGCTGCCACGTGCAGAAAGCAGAAACAGGACCCCTTCCTGACACCTTACACCAAAATTAACTCCAGATGGATTAAAGACTTAAACATCAGACCTAACACCATAAAAACCCTAGAAGAAAATCTAGGCAAAACCATTCAGGACATAGGTGTAGGCAAGGACTTCATGACCAAAACGCCAAAAGCATTGGCAACAAAGCCAAAATAGACAAATGGGACCTAATCAAACTCTACAGCTTCTGCACGGCAAAAGAAACAGTAAGTAGAGTGAATCGGCAACCAACAGAATGGGAAAAAATTTTTGCAGTCTACCCACCTGACAAGGGGCTGATATCCAGAATTTACAAAGAACTAAAACAGATCAACAAGAAAAAAACAAACAAGCCCATTCAAAAGTGGGTAAAGGATATGAACAGACACTTTACAAAAGAGGACATACAGGAGGCCAACAAACATATGAAAAAATGCTCATCATCACTGATCATTAGAGAAATGCAAATCAAAAGGACATTGAGATACCATCTCACACCAGTTAGAATGGCGATCATTAAAAAATCAGGAGACAACAGATGCTGGAGAGGGTGTGGAGAAATAGGAACACTTTTACACTGTTGGTCGGAGTGTAAATTAGTTCAGTCATTGTGGAAGACAGTGTGGTGATTCCTCAATGACCTAAAAATAGAAATCCCATTTGACCCAGCAATCCCATTACTGGGTATATATCCAGAGGATTATAAATTCATTCTACTATAAGGACACATGCACACGAATGTTCATTGCAGCACTGTTTACAATAGCAAAGACCTGGAACCAACCCAAATGCCCATCGATGATAGACTGGATAGGGAAAACGTGGTACATATACACCATGGAATATTACGCAGCCATCAAAAATGATGAGTTCGTGTCCTTTGTAGGGACATGGATGAACCTGGAAACCATCATTCTCAGCAAACTGACACAAGAGCAGAAAATCAAACACCACATGTTCTCACTCACAGGCGGGTGTTGAACAATAAGAACACATGGACACAGGGAGGGGAGCACTACACACTGGGGTCCATTGGGGGGAAATAGGGGAGGGACGGGAGGGTGCAGAGGTGGGAAGAGATAGCATGGGGAGAAATGACAGATACAGGTGAGGGGAAGGAAGGCAGCAAACCACACTGCCATGTGTGTACCTGTGCAACAATCTTGCATGTTCTTCACATGTACCCCAAAACTTAAAATGCAATAAAAATAAATAAATAAATAAATAAGTAAATAAATATGAATGAAAAGCATAGATTCTTGTTAGGGGGTAAAAGACAAGAAGATGAGGGAAAGTTTTGAACTTCTTAGATATTAGATAAATGTTCATAACCAGATTGCTGGTAGAAATATAGATTGCAAAAGCAGGAGTAAAGGGCCATCCTTGCTATAAACTGGCCAAGAACTATGACCAGTTGGCTGAACTATGACCATGCCTGCGGGGTTTAGAGAACGCCAAACTTAAGAGTGATGAACTAGGATATATGGCAGAAGGAATTTTACATAACGAAGTGCTCAGAATGTTGTGTGGTTGCTTCTAATTTCTTATTGTAAACTCTAGAGAAACGGGAAATAGGGCAGAAAACCTTGAAAAGTTCATAGCTTGGCAATGTAGTAAGGAAGGAAAGTGCATTTACAGGAGAGAAAACCAAGCTCAGGAACACCTTTGCTTAAGAGACTAACAGAGAAGAAAGCTGATATGGTTAGGATCCGTGTTCCTGCCCAATTCTCCCTACAATGTCAAATTATGATCCCCATTGTTGGAGGTGGGGTCTAGTGGGAGGTGATCGAATCATAGTTCTCATGGTTTGACACCACCTGCTTTTTGGAGCTGTTTTTGTGATAGAGTTCTCACAAGATGTGGTTGTTTAAAAGTTTGTAGCACCTCTTCCTTCTCTCTCTCTTCCTCCTTCTCCAGCCATGTGCGGTATGTCTACTTCCCCTTCACCTTCTGATATAATTGGAAATTTCCTGAGGCCTCCCCTAGCCATGTTTCCTATAGAGCCAGGAGAACAATAAACCAATTAAATCTCTATTCTTTCACATAAATTACTCAGTATCAAGTATTTCTTTATAGCATTGAGAGAATGGACTAATACAAAAGCCAAGTGCTGTTTCTCAAGCAATGAAAGAACGGCCCCAAAGGCGTATCAGATAGCTCTGAGGCCCAGAAGCCTAGGAGGGCTGAATGGCTTCAGAGAATAAGACCATGAGCTCACTAACTCACTCTCTATGAGCTCACTGACCAATTCCACCTCAGGATGCTGCTCCTGGCCCTGCTGCACAATGCCCTGCAGCCACCGCAGCCTCAGCTGAAGCGGCCATAGGTACAGCTCCTACCACAGCTCTAAATGGTACAAGTCATTAACCTTGGTGGCTGGCATCCACATGGTGCTAATTCTTCAGGCTTGCAGAAAGTAAGAACTAGTAGAAGCCTGGCAGCTCCCACTCAGATTTCAAAGGATGTCCTTAAAAGCCTGGAGGCCCAACAGAGACTTGTTGCAAGGGCAAAGCCACCACAGAGTCCCCCAGAGCAGTGCCTAGTGGAACTGTGGCAGTAGGACTATCACAGAGACCCCAGAACTATGCAGCAACCCTCAATGCAAGGCCAGCCTGGTAGTGCTGGCTTGACTAAGCCCAGTCAAACTATATGGATGGGGCTAACCGATGCCCTGGAGCCCCCTGTACCTGTTTGTAGAGAATGCAAGGCATGTCATCAAAGAAAATTATTCAGGAGTCTGAATGCCCGTCATTGGCTCTCCTGAGTTTCAGACTTGCTTGAGGCCTGTTACCTATTGCTTCTTGTCTATTTCTCCTTTTCAAAATGGGAATGTGTATGCTATGCTTGTAAGTAAGTAACTCGTGTTGATCTTACAGGCTCTTAAAGTATCCCCAACAGACATATTGACAGTCCTCCGCAGTGGATTTCTTGTGGCTAAAATGTGACACGCCGGAAAGCAGAATATCATGGCTAGCAAAATAAAGGGGTAGTCCTGTATTCTTGTATAGTTAATTGTATGCCAGCTGACAACCTTCTCCTGCACCTTGTGGTCCTGCCACAACTCCAACTGGATGGAAGGCTGGTCTTATAAACATTCTTTATTGATAGGCATTCACGAACTTCAAGCCAGTCTCAGGCAACTTAGAGAGAGACTACACACAAAGGCTCACTGCAACCTTTGCCTCCTGGGTTCAAGCAGTTCTCCAGCCTCAGCCTCCTTAACAGCTGGGATTACAGGCGCCCACCACCATGCCTGGCTAATTTTTTTTTTTTTTTGTATTTTTTAGTAGAGACTGGGTTTCACCATGTTGGCCAGGCTGGTCTGGAACTCCTGACCTCAGGTGATCGGCCCACTTCGGCCTCCCAAAGTGCTGGGATTACAGGCGTGAGCCACCACACCCAGCTGATTCAAAAGGCTTTCTACAAAATGCTGGTATCAAAGATCTAACTGATAACATTATAAATATTTTTAACTCACTTTCCCTCAAGTAGGTTAAAGCCCTTAGCACCCTGGTTAAGCAGTATGATCCCAATTGGCCTTTTAAGAGACCCTACAATAAAACTTCTTTGGGCAGTCACCTCTCTAAAATCCTAAAAAAGAAAAAAGAGGCTAAAGCCACCAAGCACTAGAATGGCAAGAAAGACTGAGAAACTCATGGCCTTGCACATTCAACAACTCATAAAGTCTCTTCCCATATCAGCAAACTCCATATAATAGGAAGAAATCAAGTTCATCTGCTGCAAAAGGTATAATTTGCTTTTTCTGGCCATTTGAAATGAGACTGCAAAAAATATAAATGAGGGCTTCAGAAAGACTCCAATAAGGTAAAGAAGCCCCCTTCTGCAGAAACAATAAGAAAATACTTATTGATCAGAACTAGAAGTACTCCCGGAAAATATGGTGGATATTTTTCTCCTTTCAGTCAATCAACTGGGAGAGATTTATCTTAAAAATTAACACAAAATAGTCCAAGCTCTAACAGACACTGCATCTATGCTTAACCTTGTCTCCTTTTA